GTAAACTCCGCCGCATACTTAATCATCTCATCGGGAGCCCGTTTCAGCACCCCATTCCTCATCCGCTGGCCATCATCATACTGCGCAGACCGTGTCAACTTCTCATCAGCCCGAATCTCCTCCAGAATCTGCAGCATAGACTTCTTCCCATGCTTGGCCATACCCCCGGCTGCCTTTTCCACGGGCCAGAAGAACAACGGACCGTACCAGTCCTCGTGAACAGCCGTCTGCGCCAGCCCTTCAGCTACAATAGCAGGCTGGTTGAACTCGAGCCCGAATCCGAAATGAATAAACGGATGAATCAATCCTATCATACCAGTTAGTTATAGAATACCCCCTAAACATATAAGAAAGAAAGAAAGAGAAATACCTCCAAACAACCTCCCCAACATCAACTCAGCCACCTCACCCCAGGAATCCGAGAAAAGATACTCCCCCAACACCCTCTCCTCCCCCTTCTCCTTCATCTGACGTTGAAAGAACTCCAGATAATTACTATAATGCTTCTCCTGTCCCAGGTACTTCAAAAACCCTTTTGCCTCTCCCATCTGACTCACCACATCCTCATCCACGGGCACCTTGGGCCGCTGATAGCTGCTATTTTTGTCATATGCGGCGCGGATCTGTTCCGGTGTTGCACCGAGGGCATATAGACTTAGGATGTGGTGGGGGATGTGGTCTATACCAAACCATTAGCCATAACATACCTTCAGTATAAGAAGCGAATGAGGGGAGAGGACATACTATGAAACCCACTCTGATTAAAAAACACATGATGGGATCGCATATCCTCCTGGAGAACCTCACTCGCCACGCGCGCTGACTCCTCGCTCAGATTATGAGAGACGATCCCATGATCATGTTCAGGGGAGAGATGGATATTCGTAGACGTTGCCATGGGGGCATCGCCCTGAAGTGACCGTTGTAGAGAGGCGGCGGTAGCAGTAGTTGATAGATTCATTCTGGGCAGTAAGTATCCGTCCCTATAATATGAAGACGACCTAAATCGCAATACAGAAGCACTGGTAAAAGCAGACTTTCTGAGCGCCCGACTCAAAGAAGATGATGTGGAAAGGCAGTAGCGTAGAGTCATCCGTAGTACTCTACCCCAGTTTCAATCAGTACGGGGTGTGTGTGTCAGGTAAGCTTAAATATGCCTGAACCAAAGTTCCAGTGCGGTCTGATCTAGTCAGCAATCCCAGCCAAGTCGTCAGTTCTACTACCGTAGTAGGATATCTCGTATTCATCGTCACTTGGTACTACTCAGTTAAGTAAGGTAAGGTAGGATTTGATTTCTTGGTTCGGGATCGTCGGAGTCGCGAGGACCGAGAGAGAGAGAGAGAAATGGTTATTTGGATCGACGTCATGCTGATATGGACCGGGCCCTAACCTGGTGGGTATCATTCCGTGCAAAGTACGGTTACTATTCTTCTTCGTTAGTTGCTTTTAGATTGAGGGGTAAAGGCTAATCAGATCTATTGTGATTGGGTATCTAGCTAGTTGATTCCACAGGGTTGAAACCAAGGAATTGTGGCTGGGTGATTGGGGAAGTGTATCCGAGGCTGATTAAGTTCTGCAGAATACTACTAGTAGTATAAGTGGTAAGTGAGTAGTAACTGGTGATTGGTGAGTGGCGGGTGTGGTTAGTGGTTAGGATCTGGGGTAGCTGCATTAGTAACATGATGGGGTCAAGCTCGGGCTCGGCCTCTGGCTCGGTGTTTGGCGCTGTTGCTTACTCTATGTTTTGGGTCTGGACTTTAGCTATTATTAGATTGTCGAGTTGATGTTGGAGTGTACCTTGATGGATTAGGGGGTGATGGTGTTTCTATGGCATTGCTTAATGTACAAGAGTCTGTTTAAGAATGCACATTAAGTTCCTTCGTATGTGAGATTACTTTTCACTAATGCATGTCCAATCTAACTGGGTATGTCGTATATAGTATGTTGTGTCGGTCTGGGTATTAACTTCACAACTACCGCATGAAATCCTCCAACTCCTTCTTCCGCTTGAGTCGCTCCCGCTCCAGCTTCCGGAACAGCGGGTGATGGCCCGCCTTATCCTTAAGCTGCTTGTTCCGGCTCTTGTTGTACTCAATATACGCCATGTCTTCACCGCCAGCCAGGCCGCTGAGCGTCGCGGCACTGCGCTTGACTGCTCCCTTTCGCTGGCCGCCCGAACGTCCTGAGAAGAGATCGTCCGTGACGTGCTCTACCTCGGCAGAAGTCTCGTTCTGTAACATCACCTCCTGCAGCAGCTCACGCCGTTCGCTGGGTGTGGCGTACGCCAGACCTTCCAGGTTTTCGATGCCTTGCAGGTGAGTAATGACCTTGAACGCGTAGCCCTGGTCGACCAGGAAAGCCTGTCGCTTGGAGGAGTAGAACATTTCATCTGTGTCTTTCGACACGAGCGAGTAGAAGAAGGCGTTGAATCCCTCGTCGTTACGACGCTTGGCTCGCAGAATACGACCAAGTCGTTGGGCTTCCTGACGACGGGAACCGTAGTGAGACGATATCTGGATCAGACAAGTGGCTTCCGGCAGATCGAGCGATGTGTCTCCGATCTTGGAGAGGAAGATGGTGTTAACTTGTTCATTGTGCTGGAAGTTCTCCAGAATGCGCATGCGTTCGTTTTGTGGAGTACCACCGTAGATATAGGCCTTGTTCAGCTTGAGTGCATATCGTTGAAGAGCATAGACGTTGTCGGAAAAGACAATGACCTTGTCGCCTCGCTTCTCATGGTAGTCGATCAGGAACTGGCAGGCTTGGAACTTCCGCGGGTTCATGATGTATAGCAGAGCAGCCTTTCGTGACTTCTCTCTCATGTATTCGGAGTAGAATTCAGTCGTCATCGGACACCACACCTCAGCGCACTGAACCTTGGCAATGTGCCCTTGCTCGGCCAGTTCCATCCAGTTGGCTTCATACAACTTCGGACCAATCAAGAAGTTCAGATCCTTGATCTTGTCATCCTCTCGCAACAGCGTTGCCGTCAATCCCAGTTTACTCTGACACGCAATTGCCGACGTGACCTTTCGGAACATCGATGCAGGCACAACGTGCACCTCGTCAAGAATCATCAAACCCCACTCTCGTGACTGAATCCAATCCATCATCTTCTGCGCATCATGCGATCGAGCACGCGTCTGGGACACCATGGAGTAAGTTGACACAATGATACCAGTCGACCGACGGAACTTCTCCTTGTTGTCCGATGTAAAAACGGCAATATCACCGGGATCAATGTTGGACCAGCGCAAGAACTCGTTACGCCACTGCACGACCGACATCGAACTGGTACACAAGACAATTGTTCCCTTCTTGATTGTGCAGCCCGCCGTGATACCCACCAACGTCTTTCCTGCACCACAAGGCAAGACAATGATTCCACTCTTCGCACGTCCATTACCGAACATCTTACTCAAACTCTTTTCTTGGTAGCTTCGAATTCTTGCGGCTGGCTTCAAGTCGATATCCAAAGTGGGATTGATCTCATCATTTCGGAAATCATACTCCTCCAGCGCTGGACAGCCCATAGCCTGACAGCGCGCCTTGACAGGTTCGACTGCTTCGTTGGGAATTTCGAAACTGTGCACCTGAACTTCCTCCTCATCGTCATCATCGTCGCGAATAGCCAGCAGGATATCGTCCTCTTTACGAGCTTCGCCTGCACCGTCTTCCGCCGGCTTCTGCTCCGAAGCCTGCCTAACACCCGCTGCATCCTTTGTACCCGGAATGACCAGGCCGCCCATTTTCGGGGCCGCCTGCTGAATAATGCCCTCCGTGCCTTTCAATCTCTGAGACCCAATAACCTCATCCTGCAGCAGCATCTGCAACATCGCCGGATCGGTACTCTCCACGAAGAAGCGGTTATGTTTCAGCACGACCTTGATCTTTCCGTATGATTTCGTGAAATCGAGAATGAACGACTTAATGGTATCCGGAAGCGGCGTTTTCGACAATCGATCCAGAAAGTTGATGATATCCTGGGGCAACAAACCCACCGAGACAGCCGCATACAAACTATTTCCCGTCAATCGGTATTCGTGCAAATGGGTCGGACGCGACAGCGGTTCGGCGATAGTAGTCAAGAAGTCCTGCGCCTGGGGTGCAAGCGGGGAGAAACTCTCCAAGGTGATAGTTCCTTTGAGAGGATCGATCCAGAGCGGGCGATTCGCATGATCGGGCTTCAACGATAGCGAGGAAAAGTCCTTGTAACCGAAATCGGGGTCCTGTCTCTGTACGGCGGCGCTTTTCTTGTTGCTAAAGGATTCGAGGGAGAATTTCTCCAAGACACCTTGTAAGCAAAAGATGTCAGCAACCAGATCCTATATGCAGGAAACTTCGCTTCTTCTACGCTACCTTTCAAGTTATCATCCTTGACTTCTTCCTCGTAGTCTGAGTATTCATCGCTACTACCAACATCCGGCACAGGTGTGGGCCGTTTCGATGCTCTACTTGACCGACCGCTATCCGTAGCTTTGCGTTTGATGGGCATTATGTATGTATGTAACCTCTTCCCTATTCGACCAGGGTCGAAGGGGAACGTCTAATGTGGTGAAGAGGATGCGATGCGGGACGGTGAGAGAATGATGTACGCGGGTGCTCCGAAAGGCTACCGGCGCCTGGACGAGCGTGAGAGGAATACGGCAGCTCGATAGCTCCAGGTGTCGTGAACCGAATCGACCAGCTGAAGCAGTGAGGCACAGAAGCTGGTGAAAGCGCGACGAAGATAGACTGAGAGCAAGAAAATGGCAGGGGAGATGATCAAGAACGAGAAGCATGAGATGAGGCTCGGGAATGACAAATTTATGCCTGAGGCAACAAGGCGAGTGGCGATCCGACGATGCAGCACTGTGATTGGCTGGGTGTCACTCACTAAAGGGAACCGGCCGGTTTGACGTAGTCTAGTCCTTAGGTAAAGTCCGGAGCTTCTTGCGAGTCCGCGGCTCCGAGTCCTCCTCTGTTAAGACAAACCCGTCGAGGCCAGAATAACATTCACAATGAACACGGTATGTTCCAGTTCCTTTATAGATTTGTCTATGATATCTTGCTAACAATTGCTTCGTCACTATGTAACAGATCCGATCTACATGGTGAGCGAAGCCTACAACGAACACCTGCCTGCTAGGCGTCCACACCACCTGGAATACACACAATACTAACGGAAACTCACCCAACCCAACAGGATAGGCTGGGGCACCCTTTGCGTCGGTAAGAAGCAATCTCTGAACCCAAATCAATGTATCCATATCACTAATATTGAAATGACAACAGCTGGCGGCGGAGCCTACTACTTTGCTAAGAAATCCATCAACGCCGACCGTCAGACCCGATTTGAAGCGGAAGTGAAGCGCAAGGCGCAGCTGGCTGCGATGGAAGCCGAGCACCGACGCCAGAACGCCCCGAACAATGTCCCGACTCCTAGTCCGACCGAAGATCCGAGCCTGAAGCGCGCCCAGTTAGTGCGTGCCGATGATGTGGGCTCGCCGAGTGCTGAAGCTAGCCATGACCCCGCACCGACTCGTCACGAACCGGAGACTGAAGCTGAGCGGGTGCTGGAAAAGAGTAAATATGAGGCTACGCAGCCTTTCCGGCCTCCGAGGGGAAACCGCTTGTAGGTTGGTGGGTAGTTAGTTTGCACATATAGTATATGAAGCGGAGGCGGCGATGGTAAAACAAGGGGGAGGAGAAGAAAAGGCTATGTTGTGGCATTTTCATGTATCATAGATTGGTGTTTGGAGCTGCAGGAACTAGGTATAGTATGACCTGCTTGAATATCTTGATCGGCGGGGTTATCCCTGCTAACGTAGGGGCATAGCTACAGTAAGTTATCCGTAGGTCGGGATGAACTCTTGTCTATACAGCAGTGCTTTAAGGAGTAGATGTTGGTTTCAGTAATGCTTCGATTGAAATTAAGTAGCCATAAGGTATTGTTCTATAGGCAAAATAGCCACGATCAATCCGGAATGAAGGTCGTGGAGCATCCACCAATCCCACCAAAAGAGAGACGCCCACATTGATGGGTGTAACCGGGCTGGCACCTGTCCAGATCCCTTCCCCAATCATGAGACTTTCTTCAACGGGTAAGGATGCAACTATGCATGTGATAACCCCAACATAGTAAGGAACAAAAGCAAAGCAAGGAACGCCATCGAAACTCCCGCCCGCCATAAGCAGAGGTATGATATGCATCTCTGCGAAAAATAGAAAAGCCCCGAGTCATGTCGCGTGAGTCCTTCATACGGAATGTATGTATGTAAGCAATCGCCTAGCACCCTTACGCCTTGACCGATCAGCAAATGTTGATCCCGAAAGAAATGATTCAGTGCGAAAAGTGAAAAATCGCGCGATATCGAGAAGATTCCTAACGCCCGGAGTGGGTGGTGGTCGTTCGGAAATGAGCCCCGCTAGTAGTGTGGGAGTTATATCCGATCGGATATAGAGATTACCTCCGCTTAGCGCGCGTGGAAGCATAGCGGTGGGTGCGGCCTATCATGGATTATTAATATCAGGTGTTTGATTATGAATGTTTCAGAGGAGAGAAGATCTTACTTGTTGTGATTGGGGTATCCATTGTTCTTCTCGCGAGAACTCTCAAGAGCTGGAGGTACGAAGGGAAGCACCACGGCCGTGACTAGACATGAGCTGGTGATGAAGCGGGAAATGCGAGTGTCTGGCTGAGGACGGCGGACGGAAAAGTGGCGGATGGTTGGGCGGGCGAGTTGCATGGCGATAGACATGGTGAATAGTGGTTCAGTTGAGGGAATTGGCGTTATGAATAGTGCCAGAAGTAATATTCGACCAGGAGAGTGGGTTGTCCAGGAAAGTAATAAGTAGATAGGAGGAAGCGGCGCCTTTGTCAAGGGAGAAGTAAGTTCAACAGGTAAGCGTTCTTAGTTGCAGAACTTCAGGTCAATGCAGGGACCGAGAGGCAAAGGTTAATAACTAATGATAAAAAGGTTGCACAACTGCTGTGCGGCAATACGGACCTACTTATAATAATTATGGTATACGACTCTATCAAGGCTTGTTAGAGGCAAATGGAGGATCAGCCTACACCTCAGCCGAACGGACCGTGTTACCCTGTGGGGGGGGTGGTTGTCTTGCGGGGGTCCAAAAAGGCCCACAGGCCCATGATGATGCTAGGCTAGTCCCTCAACTAATGCTGATTGATGATGACACTGAGTTTTGGGCCTTGAGAACCTTGAGGGATAAACGAAAAGCGCGCGGAAAAACGGTCCCGAATCATGTAGCCATCAGCTGAAGATCGGATAGCATGCCAGGCAGTTGTCGATTCTAGTGTCTATGTAGACTAGTCGATGTTCATACACATCACTCCATACCTGTCTCCTGCATTCCTACCACAATGGATGATGCATGGACCACATGAGTTATGTGGGCACCCACTGATGTACCGTCGCATTGACCGAAAGGGCCTTGATGATCCAGTCTCAACACTGTTGAACTGACTCACAGGAGTGAAGGTGAGAACTCACGCCATCGAGGGGCAGCTGATCGCGATTTCCGGCCGAAGGAAACAGCGGGGCTCAATGACGGACCGGCCAGGCACGCGGGCGGCGATCGCGGTAGTTGGTTAGTACTGTAGTCTAGCTGTTGCTCAGGCGCGGTTGGGCATGGCGTGCCAGGCTGCAACTCCCCTCCAAAACTGTGGTCCCGGCCCGCTGGAGTTTAAGGTCTGGTCACTCGCTTGTCTGATGGCGGGACTTGACTATCCGGCCTGGCGGTGTGTGGTTTTGACGTATGAGTGAAGAACAGACTGGTTGAGTGACTGCGGTTGGTCCATGACAATAGATGTCACTATTTGTGTGTACGTACACATTGAGCACGAGCCTAAGGTGATCAGGGGCAGCTAGGTATCTACCTAGACCATTCCATTGTTACAATGTAGGAGGGGAGATTAAAGGGGAGAGAAACACGAAGCAATCCTGCATCGATCATGCCACTTCCCCCCACGGCGCCTGAGGCCGCCAATCATAACTGACGTCACCGATAAGTCCCCGCGAATCATGACTCAGCTATTAGTCAAGCTTAGCTCCCTCCCATTCACAACATTGAATACCCATGGGTACTCCATAGGACTCTGAAGATAGTACTTCAGAATATTGTGTGGTGTTGTAGAATCTCTGACATGTGGGAAGACGTGTCTATCTACTATAAGGACAACTACAGAGTGACATTCGTTATCCTTCGAATAATCGTGTCAGCACTAGCAGCTTTCATTCTGGTAAATATAAATAGTAGTACGCTTCACGGACATAATATCCAACACTTGGCTCCACACTCATGCATGTTGCTTTTAAGTTCTCCCCATGCCAGTTGTAGTAGTAATCGGGAGTAGAACTCTCTCATTTTTCGGTTTCCTCACCATATCACGCTGCAACCACGAAAATAGTATACTAGTATATGCATGTCCAGATCCTACTGCAGGATGATCAGTGGTGGAAGATATGATCCGGGGGTACCGATCTGAGGGGCTCGGGCCTTGATGCTTCTCCATCCACACGTGGATGTCGATATTTGTGAACATATGGAGCCTTGCTCCTATTCATATCGTTTAGGACCGACACTATGCGTTACTCAAGCCGTGATGCTCACTGTGGCTACTGAATACTGGAACTATCATGTGACATTGATTTTGAATGGGTCAGCGACGAGCAAATTGTTTTGATTGCTGACATAGTGCATTCCTTCAGCAGGGCCTTGACAGGATTATCGTTTACCATTCACTGTCACCCTCACCGCCCGTGTCATGGCAACAGCTACTAGTCATGGTCTAGACTACTACATGTACCTATTTGGCATAGGTGATTTGAGAGTCGACGTTCATCATGGAAGGTGGCCCATCAATCACTGATGCTATTGGGACAGAAGATTACAGGAGCCCTCAAGATAAGTATCGTTCCGACTATAGCGATGAAAGCGACAGCGAGATTGATGTTACCTGGTCTCCTGGGGACGGGATATGTCCATCAACAGCAGAGTTCCATCATTGCTGTCAGTCCAAGTTCGATGAATGGAAGCATGCGACCTCAATGCCATTAAATCACACACTCTCTTTCCCATTCTACTTAGATGCCTTCTTAAGCCTTCTCAAACATGTCCCCCCGTTTCTATCCTGCCTCCCAGAACATGTCCATATTACAGGGAGACGGAGAACATTTCTTATGCTTAGATCTCCTCTACAGATACACTCAACAGACGATCCAGACTGCGATCAACCTTACAAGCTGATTGATTATCTTCAATGCCTCGGATCTCCAAAGCCTGTCGTCTACAAGCTGAAGGCTGAGACGCAATTACAACCAGTCCTTCCTATACACACCAAGGCCTTTCGCTCTGGGTATTTCACAAACATCGTTCTAGCTTGGTCCTACATTGTTTCCTGCCGCTGGTCAGAAATATTCCAACGAGCAGGTTGGAACAGCCAGGTACTCCATGAAAATGGTATGCAGATTGAGGACTCTTTCTGGCATCTTGTCACGCAAGGCTGCTGGTTAGCACTAGTGAAGAAAGAAACCGCAAAATTCTGTTCTCCATGGATGATGACAAGTGAGGGGACTAGAAAGGACCGGTAAATCTGAAATGTCAGTCGATATTCGTTGTAATGGACTAACTGGTTTATGAAGCAATTGGGTGCCAGTCACACCAAATTCGTCTCTGGCCTTTAATATTCTTGTGGACTTCTGCATATCGGAAGGCCTGGAACTGGAATTGACCACCGGTCTTGCGTCTGTTTTACTATTGACCTCACGGAACACACCTTCGCCTATCCTCGCTCCTGCTGTAGCAGCCCCAACTGCTTCTGCTGCCTATCCACCAAGAGCAAAAGACGCAGTCTTTCACGAACTTTACCAATCTATTGATAGATTTCTCACTTTAAGCTCCACACAGGATGCTTTGGACTCGTTAATATGCAGTGCCTTTTTTGACCCGTCTATTCCCTGTAATTTCATGGGAGCTGCATCTCTGGGTGTGAGGAAAGCCCTCTCAACGGTGGACAAGATCGATAACCAACAGCTCCTCAAAGCGATTACATATAAGAACCTGTCTCTATGCCATTTCTGGGTTGCTGCCATTCGTGGAGGTCAAGTAGACTCGTTACTGAACATGAGTCTGTATACCCTACCGCCTATATGTCTTGTGTCCGCCTTTTGGACAGATACTACTCAATCCTTTCTGCAGATGGAGTATTGCTCGAGTGAAATAAACAAGAAAGTCGTTACTCGGACAGAAGAGTTTCAAACATCGTTCTATTGCCGGTCAGGCACATCGGTGCCCTGGTCACCTGCACCTCCTTTCGGCTCAACTTTTGTCGAGAATGTCAGTCTTGAAATACGACAACACCTCGGACATATGCACAGACCTATCTCATGGACCACATGCTGGGTTCTGAGTTCTGGAAAGAGGATCCCCGCGACCAAACCGTACCAAATTCGTCAGTCCCAGGCTCAGAGGGTGTATCACCCTTCATCTACAGAGCATTCTAACGAGTAAGTCCGGAAATATCTGCATCACCGCTTTATATACTAACTATCAAGTGTGTCCTACGCCGAACAAATTGATGCTGATGAACAGTCGGCGATTGCAACATCTCGTTTGTTCAATTGGCATAGAAGCTATGATGATGGCATCTGGCTTGATGATGGAACGGGCGACATTGAAACGATTCGTCGAATCCAGCAACACCAATGGATTATCGATCCATTTTCTGCAAGTGAGCTTGACGATTTGGTAGAAGAACCTAAGGATCGCGAGCTTAGCTTTGAGAGTATCTTGCGGTGGATAGATGAAGCTGAGAACCATCGACACTAGCACCCGTAAGTTGCTTCAAGGCCGATTTCTCATACGATGTTTCTAGAGTCTTGCTAGAGAGATATGATGGTGCATTAAAGTTCAGAGATCTTCGATATCCAGCGCGGTATATGTTCCGAGTTCCGAGTCAAAATCCATCACAAGTGGCCTGTGAGGCTGAAGGAGCTGAGATCAGAGTCTCCACGCCGGTGTGAATGAGTCCATGCTACTGGTGATGACAATCCTTCGCCAATCACAATACAACATGGTATAACAATCACAAGATTGTGCTATTGTTCGAAATGACCTTACTGCATGAGGCGCAAAACCATTCCCACTCCGTAAATCTCCAGAGGAGTATGTCCACCCCCGCCCCCAATCAGGGAAAACAGATTCAATGCGCTAGAACCCAGGGAGATCATGCCCTGCTGGGACTTCATAAAATTCAGTATTCTATAAAGTGTGGGGCTTCTTTTTGGTACCAGAGTCTCTCTACCGCAAGTGACAAAGCCTTGCCAGGGGCTTGTGGCTCAGAGTCCTAACTAGTGACTAGTGTCCCTTAGCCGTCTGTGGATTGCCAGAAACACCCTTAGGAGCAGACTTGCGACGCTTCATTCAGACGGGGCGATAAATTATCAAGCTCTATATCACAGCATTTTATTAACACATTGAAAGGAACGATGGAGGATCATAAAAGACGTAGGTGTTGGGCGCAAAAGGGTTCTCACACATCCTTTACTATTCTTTATGCGATCCTCGATGTTCGGAATAGGCTAACCTTGCGGAGAAGGATTCTAAACGATTTCTCGAATCGCATCTTACAGTGGGTCTGGCGAGGCTGGCGTGGCGGAGCACCAGATAACCTCACTCTTGCACCGAGTACGTGCAGCGAATGTTAATCCTAGGGCAGTGTAATAGTCGCAGGCACCACAAGTGGAGAGAGACCCTATTTTCACCGGCTGCTAGCTATGCCATAACTTAGCCATTCGGCATGAGCTCCGATCTAGGCGTTGCGGCTGATTTTACTCATGTGTCGTTTATCTACCCCAGCTTTTGGCCCCATGTGCTCAAACACTGGTTCCCCTTGGCTCTTCCAGCCCCCAGGAGTTGACTTCTGTCTCGGTTCCATGCATTAAACTAGGTATAGTGCAATGCTCATCCTTATTTGCAACACAGCCTGGTGATGAGTTCTAACCTCAATCGGCAGGTGACTACGCTTACTGCTCTTGCATGCTCATGAGCGGATGCAGAATCAACAAAGTGTTGCAATGAGCTGATGCTTGCTGAATCTTCACATCACCTATGATGCTTAATTATGGCTTTTTACTGTGAAACCATGACAATACCAATGCTCCATGGATTCAGGAGGCATAGTGCTGGCTAGCCAGGGCCATGTGGTTGTCAGCCTCCAACTGTCAGCCGCAAGGTCACACCAAGACTGGATCTTAGCCCCTCTATCAAAGCACCGTAAGTAGAAGTTTCTCATAATAACTAAACATTTACCCTGCACTGTGTCTCACATTCAGGAGAACCATGCACGGCCTGGCTATTTCAGTACAACGACCGAAGGAAGATGGATTGAGGTACCCGAAAATAGTGGGCAATGGCCGTGGGGGCGAAATCTACCATCGCCCTCCTCATGCCCCCATTCAAACTGCAGGGTCGTGTTGGTTTCTCCATCATCCTCAAGGCTTCATTCGCTGACAGTGCTTTGAAACAGTGCCCCTGTCTAGAACTGGGCAATCGTACATGATTCTTTCGTGCCTTGTACGTGTTGCCTGCAGCTCCCGTGGGAGCTGAGTCCAAGGATGGCCAAGTACAGGACCTGCATGAAGCGTCACAGATATCTGTTTATTTCAAGCGTTTAAGATACGAAGCAGACATCCACCGTATACTGAGTGAGAGGTATCGCGTTCAACTGCTCGGGCGTTGTTCCGCTACGACTTCATACGGGGATCATCCTCCGAATCGCCCCCAATCTCACTCTAGAACACGAAAATCTTTTCTCTCGGTTGGTCTTGGGTCGACTCCGCCCCCCATGAAGGATGTAGCCTCAGGAGCTACTCCAGGAACCTACCCATTGCGGACGGCTTGTCATGTCCTGAGTGGGCAGTGTCAGAGCCTTGGCCGGGCTCTGACCTGGTGTTGCTAATGGCACACGGGAACTGTTGGTTGGGGGCCAATGATCCATCCGACTTAAAAGGATGAGATACATCTCCTAAGCTGGAGCAGATCACAAGAACTCTTTCATTTCATTATCGTCACTCTCTTCGTTTCCCTTCTTGGGACAGTCACTCTTTTTGTCTTCTGCAAAGACAGTCATTCTTTAGATTGCTTCAATCCTATACCTTCATTTCACTTCATACGACCAATACGACCAAAGATCTAGTTCAAGATGGTTAACCCTCTCCACAATGGAGTGGCCACCGGTCTCTTGGCTTCCTTCCTCATCCAACAGGGTCTGGCTTTAGAACTGACCGCATTCAACCCTTCTACAACAACGAACACGCAGGTTAAGGTGGCGGCGGCTGGGGCTGAAATTCAGACTCAGGACTATTCCAGCATTGATCTGCGAACCAGTCACTCGTTCTACTGGGGTGGTAAGTGTACAACTATTGGCGCTCGACTATACAACGAAATAGCTAACATGCTTGGAATAGCTTCTAGCGGTGGCGGGTCCACCTTGGGTAACCTGACTCTCGTGGACGAAAGCATTCTCCCCATGGAGTCTTTCAGCGATATGCTGGAGAACATTCAGTGCACCAACTCGAGTATTACCTTGGGCTTCTCAGACTCAGATGCGTTCTCCTATGCAAAGAACTCGTGGACTTGGGTGAACAAGGCCGCCAACAACACATTTCTTATGGTGGCTGGCGTCCAGCAATGTAGCTGGAACACCCAACGTGTTCCTTTTGTCATTACGGCTGCCAACTTCCAAGACAACTCTACAGTACGGTTGGCCGGCAAATCGGCGACCTGGGATGATGTCCTAAGAAACCATGAGATCACCATCGGCAAGGCCCCGAGTGACATGGCAGTCGAGCTCACCAAGCGAGGCATTACTTCAGGAACTAAGTCTGGTTCGATCAGTATTGACAAAACCGCGTCCGACAAATCAGTGAAGATCTTCTCGAAAGACGACCTCACCCTCAGCGCTGAATGCAAATCGTGCGGAACTAGTGGTGAATTTGACGTTGAATTCAAGTACAAAGTGAAGCCAAGTGGCAGCAGTATCTTTAGCGAGATCGGAAGCGCATTTACTGGAGATTGGGATGTCGAGACCGCGGAACTTACGCTTACACCGAAAGATGTCGAGCTAGACATCACTCCTGCTCTGGACCTGAGCGGAAACCTGACCAAATCCTACTCGGATGAAGCGCAGATTGCTGCATTGACCCTTGAGGGAATTAAAATCCCAGATGTCTTCACCCTGGATGTGCAGCTTGCTTTCGACATCGGAGCCAGCGCTGGACCTGTCAATGGCGATGCGTCCATCTCCTACCCCATGAAAATCTCGCTTGACAATGATGCAGAGGCTGTTCTCGACATTGCGAACAAGAAGGTCACCCATAAGGACTGGACTCCGACCATCACGACTTCTGGCGTCCAACTTGATGCTGAGATCGATGCTACTCTTGAGGCCTATGTCAAGGCTTCCCTCGAGTTGGTCCTTTCTGTCGGCAGTACGTACAATGATTATGAGTATATTAAAGTTGCAACGCTAATCCTCTTTAGAAAAATGGGGATACGAAGCCGGTATCTATCTCAAGCCCTACCTGGCAGTAGACTTCACTGCCGAAGCATGTGAGTGAACTGACAAGACCTGGTCTATGTTAGCCTCTGCTGACAACATGTAGCCACGAGTGGCACTTGCTCGGACACGTCCAAGAACTACCACTATGCGATCGAAGTGGAGCCTTATGCTGGAATTGAGCTCGGCGCGGAGGTGGCTAAAGTGAGCGACGAGGGTAACCCGATTGCGGACGCCACTCTTGCAGTAAGTCGAGTCTAGCGACGGGCGAATATACGCTTGGAGAGCCTAGCTAATCCCTTCGCAGTCCTTCACCAAGTCCATGTCGTCGACCTGCATTGGTTTCGACAGTATAACTTCGACCAAGACTGCCACTTCCACGAAGACCAAGTCGACTGATGAATCCTCGTCCGACGATGAGACTTCTACCAAGTCCAAGTCCAAGTCCAAGTCCAAGTCGTCCACCAAGTCATCCTCTAAGTCGGCCTCCAAGTCGGCTTCCAAGACCAAGTCTCACCCTAACAGCGCATCTGCATCTGCTACTCCAACCGGCCATTCTTCCACCCACAAGCACACCTCCAGCTCCACCAAGTCTTCGGAAACCAGCAAGTCCACCATCACGTCGTATCCTAAGACCACCTCGGCCAAGGCCACGAGCTCCCACGCGGCTGCTAGTTCTTCTGCTCACAGCGTGCACAACCACGGCCGCAGCTTCAGACAGCATGGCCGTATCTAAGCAGCTTCCTGGAAGTTATGAGCTGATGCTGTCTCTGACAGTTACCTTCATGTTATGATTTCATTTCTTGTCCGTGTGTGCGCATGCAGGCAACTGTACTATTTATTATAGATTATTTGATTGGCATGTACCGCTGAATTTTTACGTTCGTGTAATGAGATTAGTTAAAGAGTTACAACGGCTTCACAGCATTTTTACACATAGACTACCTATACATGTTCGGATTTTGACTTTCCATCTGTAGCTCGACGATGTACATGACTTGAGTAAAATTTGGGTCCAGCATCCGGCAATTTGCATACTTCGTTGTTGATTTCCGCAATGTGGCCATACTTGTAGTATTATCAACTATATAGCACCAGAACACCTGAATTTATTCACAAATAATGGTGTCTACACCACGTGTTCAACAGCTGTATAGAGTGCAAGTTAGTAGGGCGGCCACGATCACGTGCAAAGCCCGGAGCTCCGCCATCTCCGCCTCAGGATCCAGCATATCGGTGCCTCACTTCCCTCTGCTTCAGTCTCACTCAT